AAAAACAGCTGGGATCTATGTGGGGAGGTTTACTTTAAGGCAGCCAAGGTGGGATATGCATAATGCAAAATTTATGTGAAAACCGTGCGATACCGATAAACCAGATGGGGTGAACACCCGAGCAAATAAAGAAATATGCATGAAGCTAGGAGTGGACTGACCACCTATGAAGAGTGTTGGCTACTATGAGTTATCTATCTAATCACGGTGTGCAAGGTTATGACAAGAAGTCGAGAAATAGTTAGGGAGAGAAATTAAAGCCCTTCGATTAGATCGAGGTGGTGAGTATCTCTTTAACGGATTTATGGACTACTTAAAGGACAATGGGATAGTGTCACAATTAGCCCCTCCCACTACACCACAATTAAACGATGTGTCAGAGATGAGGAACCGGACCCTATTGGATATGGTCCGATCACTTCTTATCGACTCAGAATTACCTACATCCTTTTGGGGATACACATTGGAGATTGCGATTTACGTGCTGAACTGGGTTCCAACCAAATCTGTTTCGAAGACTCCCTATGAGCTTTGGACCGGTAAGAAACCAAGTGTGAGACACTTGAAAATTTGGGGTTGTCTGGCACATGTTAAAAGAACTAGTGCTGACAAATTGGAATCTAAGACCATCCATTGCCTATTTGTAGGTTACCCCCAAAGGCTCTATAGATTACCTATTCTATGATCCAAAAGAACAAAATGTGTTTTGCAGTCGAAATGCCCGTTTCTTAGAAGAAAATTACATCTTGGAGAATCTTCAGCAAGAAGTTGTTCTTGATGAGGAGAGCCCAGGAGTAGTGGGAGATGTCCCACAAGCTCTAGATACTCAACCTATAAGGTCTACCCGGGTATCCAGGCATCCAGTTCGTTACGGCTATGACCAAGAAAGTTATTTGGTGGAAGCCACGACGAGTGAGGAGGATCCCACAACTTATGCGGAAGTTATGTTGGACATAGATTACCTGAAGTGGGTAGATGCCATGAAAGCCGAGATGAACTCGATGGAGACCAACAATGTCTGAACTCTTGTAGACCCACCCTCTGGGGTGAAAGCAATTGGTTACAAGTGGATTTACAAGAGGAAGAAGGGCCCATATGGTAGCATTGAGAATTATAAAGCTCGTCTTATGGCGAAAGGGTACACTCAGAAAGAGGGAATCGACTATGAGGATACCTTTTCACCGATGGCTATGCTGAAGTCTATTAGGATCTTGCTAGCTATAGCAGCATACCGTAACTACAAGATTTGGCAAATGGATGTCAAAACCGCATTCTTAAATGGAGATGTTATTGAAGATATCTACATGCAGCAACCACAATGATTCATTGCTGCAGGTCAGGAACACATGGTATGCAAACTTAATCAATCCATATATGGACTAAAGCAACCTTATAGAAGTTGGAACATTCGGTTTGACTCTACTATCAAACAGACTCTGAGCAAAATCCAGATGAACCCTATGTTTATAGAAAAACCAATGGGGATAATGTTACGTTCTTGGTTCTGTATGTAGATGGCATTCTACTTATTAGGAATGATGTAGGAATGTTAACTATGGTGAAAGTGTGGCTTTCATAGCAATTCTCCATGAAAGATCTTGGAGAAGCCACCTATATCTTGGGACTTCGACTCTATAGAGATAGATCGAAGAGGAAAATAAGGTTATCCGAGTCTACTTACATTGACAAAATTGTCAATAGATAAAGTATGGAGAACTCCAAGAAAGGAAATGTTCCTTTCAGGCACGGAGTCACTCTCTCCAAGGGTATCTCCCAAGACTCCCGGAGAGATTGAGGGCATGAAGGAGATTTCCTATGCTTCAGCCATAGGGAGCATCATGTATGCCATGTTGTGCATTCGTCTTGACATTGCTCAGGCAGTGAGAGTGGTAAGTAGATACCAGTCTAACCCAGGACAAGAAAATTGGACAACTGTGAAGAACATACTAAAATACCTTCGAAGGATAAAAGAGTTTTGTCTGGTATTCGATGGTAGTTCACTACAGATTGTCGGGTATACTGATACCGACTGCCAGTCAGATCCAGATGGTAGAATGTCTACATCTGGTTACATCTTCACGATGGACCCCTGAGTAGTAAAAACAGCAAATTCCACAACCCAAGCTGAGCACATTGCCATAAGTGAGGCTGCCTAATGAATGAAGGTGTTCATTCTAGAATTTGGAATTCAACATATTACCCATTCCATTGTTTTGTGACAACACTGGATGTTAAAAAGGTAGCATCGGCGGAGAATGTGGTAGATCCATTGACTAAGCCACTAAAACTGAAAGTTTTTGAGACGTGGAAAGTATGGGACTCTGGCTTATAACCGATTGGACCTAAGTGCAAGTGGGAGCTGTTAGACAGTTATGCCCTTAGCTCCAATTAGATTGATGTATCTTTCGACATTTATTGTAAAAGAATAAAATACATAATTGATTCATGTAATTGTGGTATGTTTCTGTGTAATACCCTTAAACTGGACACTTGTGAGACTCGTGTTAGTTTAGAATCTTCACAGCCGTTGGATAGATCTAGAGAGATTTATCTTGCCAAGGCTGACACTAATGTGCCACCAAGTTGGTTGGGGTGGCTTGTCTCAGTTGCCAGGGTGAGGCCTGAGGTACATGTAGTGTGGGTTTTCTTGAAACCCTGAACCTGACCAAATTCCAGTATTGCCCTGGACCTTGGAGATAGATAGGCAAAACTGGAATGTTACACCTGACCCCTAGACTCGATTATGGTACTGCACTAGGTGTCAGATCGGGCTGTCTTTGATATGCCAATCGGTGAGATCCTTAGATGGGGTCAAAACTAGAGTATGTTGGGACAATCTGAGAATTCATCTGAGTGGGTGATCATAGTGACAGGATCAGCCCTTCAGTTTAGAATCTTGGGTATGTTGGGCCATCCATATGATGGATTTCTCATCCCTTCAGTTTCATCCCTGTCGTTGCTGCAACCTGTAGCAATGGCGAACCCATCCACACGGTCCCCCTCTCTCTATCTTTTCTCTCTCTCTCTCTCTCTCTCTCCATCCATCCCCTCTCCCTCTCACCCCCTGTTTCATCACCGTCATCGTTGCAACCTGTAGCAGCAGCGATCCCTCCACATGACCCTCTCTCTCTCTCCCTCTCTTTCTCTCTCTCTCTGTTCGCCCCCTCTCCTTCTTGCCCCTGTTTCATTACCACCGCTGTTGCAACCTGTAGCAGCGATGAACCCCTCTGCACAACCTCTCTCTCTCTCTCTCTCCATCCACTTCGTTTTATCTCACCAATTCAGAGGAGAAATGTCGTGGAGCAGGAAGCTCCACACAACCAAGTTAAGCCACACCCAATCCTCTCTATGGTGGTTTCTTCTACGTTGGACCATTTTTGCACTTCCTCTTTTATTGATGGTTTCGGGCTGCTTCATCTCCCTCTCTTCAGGAGACTTGTTATCAGGATCTTCATCTCTTCCCCTTTCCCGTTGGAGGAATTCCATGGCTCAACTGAGGTCTCCATGAGAATATCTCAAAAATTGTGTTGGAGAGAGTAAAGAAAGAGATTTTTATACCTCAAGAGGTGGAGGGGGTATCTTTTCAAGGGAAAATAAGAGATGGTGGGATTCTTTTTGGAGAGGAGGTGCTCTGCTCAAAGAACCAACCAGAACTAGAACCCAGCATAACGGAGTCAGAGAGAGAGAATACCGCTAAGATATGGAGGAGTCGTTGTCCAGTGCCCGCTTGCGTGACTTTTGTTCTTAGTCCTGCCAAGGTAGCAGAGAACTAACTTCAAGATCTGCAACTCTCGCGAATTGTGGCTTTTGGAGGAGTTCCATTGCTTGAGTAGCCGGAAGTCCGAGCAGAGCAGTCAAAGAAATCCTTGAAACCGTTGCTTCCTGGGGAACACCTAAGAAGAGCAGTGAAAGAATTTCCTGGAGCTTTTGGTTTTCATCGACAGATTGGTAGGAGGTGCCAGTGGGTCTCTTGAAGAAGACGATGAAGGAGGAGAAGAAGAAGAAGAAGGGAGGAGAGGGATGAAGGGTAAATTGGGTTTTTCAAGAAAATAATATATCATGTGTGACGGAATATTAACGAATCCTAACGGTAATGGTAAAGTTAGTCAATTGTCAAAAATAATAGGGATATTATTAGACAGTAGTCAAACAGTAGCGGTATACTTAGTTAATTAGCTAAACCATAAGAGTAATTTAAGAAATTTTTCCTTATTTTCTTGAAGGCAAGATTAATTATTTTAGACAACATTACATTTCCTAATAATAGTTATTGGTTTCCCTTGTTTTACTATTTTTTTATAAATCCCGGCATGGCACGGGTTCCCACTAGTACCATATAAAAACGAAGAAGATGTTTGTATTATTCATGGATGAAAGAGGATAAACAACGGACTTCGGTTGGGACAGCTGACTAACAAATCCAAAAGTTTTCAGTTAATTCAGTGACTTAAGTTGATATTTTCACGTTTTTTTTTTAACCAAGACGGGGGGAAGAACGTCCCCAAACTTCAGCAACACAAATAAAAAAAGAGGGGAAAAAAGAGATGCTAAACTAAGATTAACGGGCTTTGAAGGAGCAGATAGAGCTTCGTGCACCAGCCAATATCAGCCGCCTGGTTGATAGATATGCTTATACGCTAGATCTCTTCGAAACACGTGGTTTTATTCTTTTTAATTACTCCAATTGTTTGAGGATGCGTTAATTATCTAATCCTATTACTTGATGAAATTCCTTATTCTCTCCTTGCTCTGTTTGGATGATTTCATTGATACAATAAACCCTTGTTAAAATGGATTTTCCTACGGGTTTTCTTAAAATATAAAAAAGGAAAAGAAAGTCAGACCTTGTTTATGAATGGGGAGGTGCAGGACAGCAAAGTTTGGTTCATGTGATTTTCTCTAGTTTCCCTGTTTCAAACTTTTCTTTTGACTTTGTGGCGAAACAAGTAATTAGAATCTTAAAAAGAAATCAAAACAAAGCCAAAACCCCTCGAGCTGTATGTAAGCCAACAATATCATTTGTCTGGTAGGCATAATATCATTCACATTAGAACCTCAATTTAATCAATGAATGATACAAAAATATTGAAAAAAAATTAAAAAAAAAATGCATGAACAAAATGGATTGGTGGGTCTCTCTCTGAAGGGACCACGTGGTAAAAGAATTGGCAAATATGTGGCACACATTGTAGCACGTGCTTTATACACTTACATACTCATACAGACATTGTTACCTTGTGGATGACCCGGTTGTGGACCGAGAAAGATTAGGAGAAACCAAAGAAGCTTTCAATGCTCTATCTAGACTATTTACAATCTCGGTCATGGATGGGCGGTCTCGCCCCTCAAGCCCAACGCAATCAGCCGCTAAGTAGCCAACATAGGCCACGGCCTCAATCTCAACAGGCGTTGGAGGCCGCAGCCTTCGGTCTAGCACACGATGTATTTCATCAGCCACAATATAAGGCATCACCACATCCACCACATTCCTTGGCATTCCCGTCTCCTCCTGCCTATGGATTGCCTTGTGTCCAGACAGCAGCTCGAGCAGCACAACCCCAAAGCTGTATACGTCGCTCTTGGTCGACAACTGCTGCAGCCTGTAGTATTCAGGGTCCATGTACCCCACCGTGCCAGCTGCCCGAAGCGACAAGTGTGAGTCCTCATCTTCGGGGCCCATCAAGGAGAGACCAAAGTCAGAGACTTTAGCCGTCCAAGTGGCGTCCAGCAATATATTCGATGACTTGATATCGCGATGTATGATTGGTGGAACGGCGTAGTTGTGGAGGTACTCGATCCCCCGAGCCGCGTCTAGCGCAACCTTGAGCCGAGCAGGCCATGACATAAGGTCGGAGCTTTCTAGCTTGTGGAGATGGTCATGAAGTGTACCGTTGTCCATGAACTCGTAGACTAATACACGCTCGTTGGCCTCCTCGCAGTAGCCCAGAAGACGCACGAGGTTTTTGTGGTTGAGACGAGATAGGAGTGCAAGCTCCGACAAGAAGGCGTTCTCCTTGTCCTCATGGCGCTTGGTGAGGCCTGCATACGATGACGAGGCTGATAGCTCTGCTCGCTTGATCGCAACCTCCCGCCCATCTTCGAGCGTGGCTCGATAAACCGCGCCAAAGCTACCTGACCCTATTTTAAACTCTTCTGAGAAGTTGTCCGTGGCTTGGTTTAGCACTTGCAGACTAAATTCTTCTATGCTACCAGCAGGGCCCATGCTTAGCAATTTACTCAGTCTCTTGTCAAAAGATGGACTCGTCGGTGGAGGTTGTGGGTCTGGCGTTTGACGTTGGCTTGGACCCGCTGCAGGAGTGGCACCAGGGCCAGGCTCATCCAAGCGCCCTGAATCATGAACCCGGCATACTCTTCCTTTGCAGTATCGGTAGATCCAGAAACCGAGCACAGACGCCAAGGAAACCGTCCCGATGCAGCCTATAACAAAGAAAGCTACCCTTGCCCTACCCAACCCATTGCTTGGTGTGCTTGGAGAGGATTCAGGAGCGAGTGGCGGTAATGCAGGTGGAGTTTCAGGTGGATTTTGAGCAGTTGGAGGTCTGCTTCCACAAGGTGCACAGATGGCTCCTTGACTGCAGAAACTGGTGGAATCCGGCAATTCGCATGGACAATCAGTTCTGCAAGCGCCGGGCAATACACGTTCGGAAACCTGGTAATTAGACTGGAAGCTGTCATTTCCCCAACAAAACAAAGAATAGTTCCGTTTCAAAGCCCCACAGAAAACTTTGCTCTTAGCTGTAATCGACACAAATTGGAGCTGCTGCAAACTTTCCGGAAGACTGAAATTGTGCTCCCCCCAACAAACAACCGTTTCGTCAGCACGGATAGCACAGCTACGGTTGTTTCCCAAAGCCAATGAAGTAAATTCTCCCACTGGTTTGTTCCCCACTCCTTCTCCCGGCCAACAATCTATACTACCATTTACAGAAATTGCACATGCGTGCTGGAGTCCGGCAGCAACGAAACTGTAATTTGCCATCGGCTTGGACTGATTAATTCGGGGGTTGTCTCCAAAGCAGTCTATTTTTCCAGTTTCTGATAACCCACAAGCGAAGTCTCCTCCCACGGCGATTCTTGAGAGGTTTCGATCAATGGGAAAATTGGGTCCACGCCATTGCCAGCACTGTATTCTACCTGATCCGTTGATTCGGCCACAGATGTGAGATTCCCCTGCGTCAAGCTCATCGAGCATTCGACCTTTGTATATTCTTTTATAATCTGTAACAGTACCGTTACCGGAGAATCTCCAGCAAAGGAGAGAAGAACTAGGGGATGTCCTGAGAACACACAGGAACCCAATTCCGGCGGCGGTAGCAGAAATCGGAAAATTAGGATTTGCTGGGGTAAATGGAATTCCACTAGGAAAACTAGTACAATTAAGGGATGGTAATGCTGTTTTGTCTTGTCCTGGCACTAATGCACAAATTAAGGTGAAGTTAGAGTTTTCAGAGATTGATACAGTAGACAGAGACGAAGAAAGGATGGGTAGATTAGAAACAAAGAAGAGGCTTACTAGAAGGAGAAGAGAGAAATGTTTATGAGAAGCCATGGAAGGAGATGAAAGCTTCTGGAGAAAGAAAATTTCATTGTGTTGAAAGAAAGAGGAAGAGAAGAAACAAGTTCAAGTTCAGAGCTTTGATTGTGTCCTTCTCTTCTTTTGGCTTTTAAGGGTGTGGTCTTTCGAGTAGAATGACGCGGTTTTGAGGGTGTGAAGCCTGTGAGGACAGGCGACCAAGTCGTTTTGAATAGCCAACTGTGAGCGTGTAAGTCAAACGTAGAAATTTCAGTCTTCTGTCTCTCTTTACTTGTTCTCTCTTTGTTCTGGTCTTCAAAACATCGCTTCTAGCAGTTTGTCCGGATTCATTCCGGAATCAGGATGAACCCGACTAGGAACGCCATGGGTCGGGTTAAGTGGTAGCGACCCCACCCTATTAGAATCGGGACAACCTTATTACCTTAATAGGTCTCTGTCGGGTTTGGGTTGGGGTGACCTGCGCCAAACCTCACTCACCTGTTTACAATGTAGCAGGACAGGTCAGGCTGCTTGTACCCCATTTTTTTAGCCAGATTGAATTTGGGTTCAACAATATTCACCCCGACCCGTTGTAATCCGCAATTAGGATTTGGAATATATGGGAGGAAAGAATTTCAACTACATTAGGCTGAGGTTAGGAGGGTTTGGGCCCATTCGTAATTTAATAGTCTCAACCGAACCTGACCCAAGATGCTCCCTTAATTGCATATTATAAAGAGAAAAGCGGCCTAGATGGGTCGGTGGATCCATTTATTTGTATATGTTTGTTTGGTAATTATTTGTCAAGCTTCGTGGGAATACAAAATTTATCAACCTTTCGGCCTAGGGAAAGTTCTCACCTAACTGTTTACTATACTTGGGGAAAAAAAGAGAACAGTTTTTGTTTTTTAATTATTTATTATTTCCCTAACTACTGTATTAAAAAGAAAATGGAATGGAAAGAAAGGGAAAATAGATTGGAAAGAGAAAGAAAAAGGCATGGACAGTGGTGGTGTTTGTTAAAGGATGGGGCCGGTCTAGCCCAAAGTCTAGCCCGTGAAAAGGGCAGGGATGTTTGTGGGGGATTGGGTAGGGAAGTAGGGAGAAGAAGACTGAGTGAAGGTAAGATATCAAGTAGGGTCACTGAAAATCTTTAGTTGACATGGTTTTCTATTCATGAGTGTTTTAATTGGAATCCGATCCCCATTAAGAGAGATCTAAGTTTTATCCATTTATTTATAACCGGATCCAATATGGATATACTGATATCCTATCCAATAAAAACTGATTTACGTGTATTTACTAAATTGTCACGGGTTTCAAATTTCACATATATTATTTTTTATGTACCAGTAAATGGGCACATGCACTATACGTATAAATATGAAGAAATGGAGATTTATCCAAGATTTTCTATACACTTTTTTATAAATTTTGTCTTTTATATATTCTAAATTTTTATTATTTAATTATAATATGATGGGTTGTCTTGTTTAGCTTGGATGTTAAAACCGATTACCCACCACACCAACATAAAAGTGGTTTCATTTATGGTTGATTGTAAATTTTTATTTCATTTTGATCATTAATAAAAATAAGTTTTGTTTATTATGATGAATATGATATTAAAGTCATGCCTAATTTTTTATAATCTTTTGTATTTATATTTACTTTAAAAATATTATATATTACTTTATTATGACATCATGGATTGACTTACCCATTTAACCTAGACAATTGAACCACTAAACTACCCATTTCTTTATTTTTTTTAATTTCTATTTAATTATGACATCATGGATTAACTCATTTGTGGTTTAATATTTTTTGGTAACTATTTGTGATTTGGGTGAGATGGTTAAACCATCAACCTATTACACAAATGAAAGAATGGTTTCATTTTTTTGTTGGATTTAAAAATATAGTTTTTTATACTAATAAAATTACGTGGTATATATACTCATATAAATTTCATCAACAAATCTTTTATACAAAATTAGTGGAATTCAAATGGTGAGAAACAAAAATGCCTTAAATATGCGATTTACTAAGATAAAATAGGAATTAATACTTTAATTATAGATCTTAATGAAAAGGTATTGGTTGAAATAAAAATGATGATGATTATTATTTGAATATTCATATCAGAACCTGTTGTGAGCTCTGGGAAGATCATGGCCGGCTCAAAGAGATGGAGCCCCCACTCATTTTTAGAGGAAATGGGCCCTCATTTTCAGATTTGAAAAATTCGAACTAAGTCTTTGATAGTGACTCCCGTCTTCCATGGGAAAGACACTGAGCTGAGAGGTTTTGGGTCCAAAAGATTGGGAGAGGGAAGGTGTTAGGCACCCTTCTTTCTAAGCTGCTATAGCAGCCCACTACGGGAGTAATTCAGGCTCAAATTCTAGTAAAACACTAATTAACAGGATTGTTCAAAGCTCTTGAAATCTGGCAAAAACGTCCCTAACTTCATCTAGAATTGATTTAAGGTGATGTCATTGGGTCTTAGGTACTGGTTTCCCTAAGACCCTCACCTCTCTACCTCTTTTTCTCAATCTGGAGGAAGTTGGGAATGCAAGTTTCCTAGGACTTTAGGACTTTAAGCAATCTGAAACCAAATTAAAAGCAGAGAGATGGTGGAATGGGAGGCTTACCTCTTGTGTACAACCTTGAAACAAACATTCCTGCAACTGAAAGGACTTCAAGTGAAACTTGAGTAAGGCACGGAGATGGCTGAGCGTTTCTGGTGTTATGTTTGGAAGGAGATGAGGGGCTTGAGCTTGGCTTCAAGAATTTCAGGATTTTGAGTAGAATGGGTGTGTTACAGAAGTTAGAAAATTGCCCTATTCCTCCTCAAGTTCGAGTTGGGCCTCTATTTATAAAGAAAATGGAGAGAGATGGATCTGAAATTCGCCCAGCTACAGTGTTTGTGATTCAGCAAATCTCTTTCACTGAAAAAGGCAAATATTTTGAGAGATAAGAGCTTGTAGTTGACCCTTCATTCTTGGTGTAATAAATTTTCTCAAGTTTGGATGTCTTCTCATGGATTTCATGCATCCAATAAGGGATTGGGGCGTGCCAGATGTTGCAACCCCATATTTGGGGCTGAAAGTGGCAAAAACATAAATTTGATGAACTTTTAATTGAGGTTTTTCCCTTTCTTACTTTTAAGTGGGGCTTGTTTGGTATTTTGAGCCCTTTAAGCCTATTAGGCTCAAATTCATTGGTCCAGGTGTTTTAATGGGGTCAAATAAGGAGCTGACATCAGCCCCCACCCTCTTAAGATCTTAAGTTGGATGGATGATGTGGCGATTTAATCTGGTGCGCCGAAATGGCATCGTCCTAGTTTAACAGTTAAATGGGTGATTTAGGAAGTGAAATTTGTCGTGTTGGGGTTTTTTGAGTCTCTGAAGTGGTGAGGTATGATCGGACAAATAGGGTCAGGATGATTGAGATCTATGGCTGGCAAGTTCGGATCAATGATTTGCTGAAATAGAATCTTTGTTTGATGAAGGGTCAAACAGGGGAATTTTGGAATGAAATTTGGTGGGTAGGCATTTTTGATCATCCTGAATTTGATAGATTGATGGATCTTTGATTAGAGGTGTATATTGACTGATTTATTTCATATCATGGTTTTAGCTTATAGTTTTCCAATCAACAAGATGGCCCAAAATAAAATCTTACTTTTTAAACGGTTAAATGCAAGTGTTTGGTCATGAAATTTGATGTGCTAGGGTTCTTTGGGTCTCTAAACATGGTGGCATGGTCTGATTGCTCAAATAAAACTTGGATGATGGAGATTCGTGACAAGTGAGCTTTTGATCAATAAGATTCGTCAAAACGGAATCAAGGCTTGAGGTTGGGTCAAACAAGGGAATTTTGGAATAAAATTTGGTGGGTAGGTATGGATTGGGATAATGAGGCTGTTGGAAGGGTTTGATCATGTTAGGTATGTGAAGATCACAGATTTTAGGTTCGAGGAGCGTCATAGTATTATACACATCGAAATGAAGTCTGTGATGGATGATTGGCTAAATCCATGAATTTAGGGTCAAAATTTTGTGTGATTGATTGTTTAAGGATTTTGTTTCTCGTGATAGAGTTTGATCGGGGATCAAGTATAGTGATGTGGCATAATCAAGACCATCAAAAGGGAATCATGTAGATCTAATGATGAATTTATGGGCATTTGGGCTAAAATTTAGTTTTTTAGGGTTTTGGCATGTTTTAAAGTGACTGGCATGGTTTGATTGGGCATTCGGAATGTAGGATATGGGTCAAACAAGGGACAAAACAAAAATCGGGTACTAACAGCTACCCCTCCTTGTTGGAGGTAGCGAGCTGCTGAACAACAAAGAAAAAAGAAAGAAGCACCTAGAGGTTTTTGTGAGGGACAAGAGGTTAGGGGAGGAAACTTTGCTGCTGGAATTTAAATCAAGGTTGAAGTTGATATAGTGCAATACCCTTGCCTGAGAGGCACAATACCATCCGAGGCCTTAGCAGGCAAATGTAACCATCACACAAACAATAAAGTAGTGTCATCCCAGAAGAAGTCATTGATTCATTTGTTTCTTCTTTGTTCTTGCTTTTTTGATAATCTTTGTTGACTGAATTTGATAATTCTAATTTAAAATTTTTATGTTTGATGAGTCTTATTCTCGATTTTTTGGTAACTCGACAATTTTGAGGTTTTTTATTTGATGAATTTGATGAACTTGATAACTTTGATATTTGATGAATTTGATATTTTGATGATTCAATTTTGATTTTTGATATTTGATGAATTTGTTGTTTGATAACTTAGATGAGTTTGATAACTTTGGGATTTGATATTGATTAGATGAATTTGATATTTGATGAATTTGATGACTTTGATATTTGATGAATTCGATATTTGATTATTTGATGATTTCATAATTTTGATATTTGATGAGTTTGATGATTTGATTTTGACATTTGATATTTGATGCTTTGATTTTGATATTTGATGAATTTGATGACTTTGACATTTGATGAATTTGATATTTGATTGTTTGATGATTTGGTAATTTTGATATTTGAGGAATTTGATCATTTGATATTTGATGATTTGATTGTGATTTGATATTTGATGAATTTGTTGATTTGATTTTGATATTTGATATTTGATTATCTGATGATTTGATAATTTGATAATTTT